CTCCCTTTGACTAGTGTCGATCCTGAATGTAGGCCCCACGAAAGGGGCATCTGTGTTGGTCCGGTCTTCTAATGTTGTCTCTGAGTGGAGACAGGGGACCTGGAACAGCGAAAGTGCTATCATGGCCCCGCCCAGATCCTATCAGATTTCGCCCATCCATGTACTGAAAGCTGCCCGCGCCCTCAGGACGGGACCCTCAGAAATCGGGTTTTTCAGGGGTTTTGGACTATTTGAACTTTATAACTGTAATCTGGGCTACGGAAAGGCCCCGGAATGGCAAAAACATGGGAGACAAAATTTTAAGTGAACGCTGCCTTCAAAGGCAGTGTCTCACCAAAGTTGAGGTCGCGCGGATTTTCACATTCTATTATAGTGACCTCTAACTCAATTTGACCCCCTCCTGAGAAAAATTCGCTCACAGTGGTACGCGGAGAGCGACTTGGTACGCGCGGACGACTCTTTCGGTCTCTCACCTTAGGCCTAGGGCATAGTGTCCACGATACCGTCGCGCTGCGATTTCTGAATTACGACAACTGTTACGCACTCGTATTATGTCTAAGCGTCTTCCGGCGCGACGGATCGCGGACCCTTTTTAGCTAGGGCATAGTTGTTTGCAGCGATAATCGCCGCGATTTCGGTTGAACTCAGCGATGTCGTGTCGCGCGTGCTGTACGGGCGACTGGGCGATATCGCTGAGGTGCAAGGGACACCTTGAGAGTTTTTTGTATGCATGCCTTGTTATTTCACCTCGTTTTTGTTTGAAAAATAAGAAAATCTCTTCTGAAGTAGTGATGATTAGTTTTCCGTGGGAGACGTGCGAAATTACTGCAGCTGCAAACGAGTTTATCGAGAGTTTAACGAGAAAAACTTTTCTGGATGTCTTTCAATATCTTGCAAGCTTTCAAAAGCTAAATTTCGGGGATTTGAATTCTTGTGTAAATTAGAAGACTTGCTAGTATACTTAACGATTGTTTTCGCTTCAGTATGAAACCAAGTTTAGGCGTTCACACTGGCTTTGCAACTTCGAGGTACCTCTTCGGTCACCTGCAAGATCTTTCTGATACCGAAGATGCTGTATCACACCATGTAAGTACATGTTTTTTCTTCTTACAATATGTTGCCGTTCTGTTTTAGGTGTATGTGTCGGTTACTAGCTGGTACTTGGAGGTAAGCATGTTCATCATTTATGGTTACTTTGAACATTATATTGACGTTGGAATGTTTGTTCAAGAATGGCTTTTGGAAATTTAGTTATAATGTACTTCGGTACTATCCAATTACTGTAATTTCGCGAACTAGGGAGGAGAGTACAAAAATTGTGCGGCGCTTTCGTCTTATACTTCATTATTTTTGATATGCTATGCAGGTAGGACCAGAGGTGTAGTCGTTCCGACACAATCTGCTGTATATGAAAGGTGTGCCGTTTATCACATAGAGGTTAGTTCATTCATACAACTTAAAAGATTTTTCTTAATTTTTGTCCTTACCTCAGACACATCATAATGTATGCAAGCCATTCGAACGTTTCAGTCCAGCATATGGTGTTGTTTTGAACTTCATCCGTTATTTTATACAAGGGGCTAAAAGGATGAAAAATGTCAAGCAATAGCTTTACAAATCGCCAAAGCGGAGGCATCTAATTGTAAGTCATTCGAATACGAGTATTGAACTTCCACTACGATGCACTTTACTTTGTGCTGTGTGATCACTTGAGAACGATTCACAGCCATTGTGTCGGTACCTTAGGACCTTAATCTTCTCAAATACGGGAGTATGAACTATAGTGTATGTCTTTTATGAAATGCCGTTCCAGAGCCGTATGCCATCTTTGTAACTGCTTTTTATTTTACATAAATAAACTTCATTTAGATGACAGCAATGTAACACAATGACACAGACACAACAGACAGACCCATTATGACAGAAAGAAAGTTTGGAGCATAATACTATAATGCTGATAACTATACCGGTTCGATTACATCTAAGAGGACTTAGATACTCATAAAGCGACTTAGAAGTAACTAGTCATCACAAGAGATTATGCCAGAGTGCGGACCATCAAATGACATCACCAAGCAGCAGGGAGACACTTTCTCTACGATTATAGAAAGCAGGTGGCCAATTGAACTTTACCCTGGATTGTCGAATCGAGGAGACATTCACTGATGTTCTTTTGCAGTGACATCCTCGTCCTCCAAAATGGCAACCCGATCGTCGCCTGCACAAAACGCTGTCGTGTCCAATCCGTAAAGGAAGAAGTGACAGCAAAACCATAATGGCTAGTACGAGACAACCTCCCGGGAGGTAGACCATGATAATTCGGTAAAAACTCGCGCACGCCTGATGCGGCTGTGTAGGGCTGCAAAATGTGTAAACGATGAGTCAAAATATACTTGTTGAAGATGTTACTCACTCGCATGATGGATTCCATAATTCTATAATTTGATAGCTCGAACCGTTAGCCAATTTATCCAAGAAACTCACTGCACCGTATACAAAAGCTCCGCTTTCCTAGAAAGCCCACGCGATTGTAGAACCAACATCTTCTTGAAACAAGCTTTTCTTACCGTATTTTTATTTATAAGATCAGCAGTAATCGACAAGGAAGTGATTGAAAGGATAGCCTGTGCAATACCTGGAAAACAAACACGTACGTACACGTTAACAACTCTTTCAGAAAGTGAGGATTTCATCCGTAACGAACCTATCAAACAACATAATACATTGGATATAAGGAAAGATCGAAGAGCATCCAGATACATGCATGCAGTCCACCAAACAAACCAAGGACTTGGAGAAACTGAAGCTGGCGCTTAGTAAACTCACAGAAACTTTGGAAAGAGTTTTACCTTTTTAATGAAAATACTGTTAAAGCATGGAGTCCCAGCAAAAATGACACCAAAACCGATGAAATATAGGGAAACATAGGGAAGATAGCGACGTATTTCTATAGCGACGTAGAAGCAAAAAACTGACTTAAGTTCTTTTTGAGCAAACGCGGGTTGCACCCACCTTCTCATAATTCTGTGCCAGTGTTATATAAAACGGAAAGTAAACTCATGTGATGTTGACGTATAAGCGAAATAACATGTACAGAAGAGCAATCTTCAAAAAAGTTTAGAGCAAAATTGCGTCACGCACAGGTAATAGTACCTGAAAAAAGTGTATATGGCCGAACCGGCTTGTCCAGTGGCTTCTTACAAGTTCACTTGCATCCGATGAAAAGTAAAGCGTACGACTAAGAATATATTAATTTCAACTTAAGTATACAACAAACAAGTAAATTACCTCATCCTTCTACCAAATTTCGGTTCACGAACAAGCAAGTAGAAGAGCATAGTGACTGCCAGTCCTCCTGCTACGACCAAAAAACCAGCAGTCTGAGATTTTCACATAAAAGAGATATATTCAAAAAATGACTTGTACCAACCCGGAAATGCTGAACAGCGGGCCCCATTTGCGACTGATGCGTACTTTCGGAGAAAAAGCGAGCAAGAACAAGAAACACTGAGAGATTTGCAGAAAAAAAAAACGGTGAATGAATTTCTGAAACTGAGACAGAAATAAACATCGAGAAAATTTAGACTCGGACTTACCTTAGTGAGTTTATTGTAGTTCGACTGACTATCGAGTGAAGATAGTTCCGGTATTAACGCCAGATGTGAAGTCTATGAAGGAGTTTCATGGATTTGGGGGTTACAATACAAAAGCAGAAATTACCTGGACCGACGCCCATCCGAACTGAAACCGTAATAAAAGGAACAAACCATAGAACCTTCAACCACTGATACTGATTGTCCGAACAGAACAAGCAGCGGTTGATTATAAATGGGAAAGAGATAGATAAAGATAGTACCTAAAGTTTGACGATATTCAACTTTATATTTGACGAACCAACTATGTGCCACGACATTCACCGACCAATTTATCAAAAATTCTTGGTAATATACTTGCATCACTGGCGAGCCAACAAGAGGAGTGGAGACAGCACTGTTACCTAGAAGTAGCGCAAAATCGGAGCAAAAAAGCTTTGGGAACCCACTTGTCCAATCAATGTCAACGATATCGCCCAAGAACTTCGAAGTTTGAGAACTTTAACAAGGTAAATAATCAAATAAGTGGAACACATACTAGCGCATAAGTCGTTTAGAAGTGACCGACGCCTGCAGATGGACAGTTCCGCTCATGGATCAGTTTTGAACTTTGAGATAATACCGCCTATCCTCCTTCACAGATCATGATCTGGGCTTAGGCGAGGACCAATAACTACCTAAACAATATTAAACAAGTTCTTCTAGCATGTTGCACCCTCCAGTGATACTGATTACGATTATATATTACTGTGGATAAATCTGCTTAAAGATAAGCTGACCTGCTCCAGTTCATCACTTCGTATGGGCTGCGCTTCTGCTACATCCACTACTACATAAAGCTACGTTTTGGAGCTATGAGAAATCAAATCCAGAATGCATTTTGAGCATATGAATTTTTCCTGATAAAATCGAATATTTTTTATCATAGTTTGAAGAGTTCGCTTCGACTTTGACAACCCACGATGGGTATTAGTCGCTTGATATACTACTTTGCAGCGTTAAAAGAGGCACCTAAGCGGAACTGCCATGTGCGCTGTAGTGCTACTCCAGTCGTTGTCGGCTGTCAATCAGACCCAAGTACTTCTGCGGTTAGAAGATTACGAGCAAATGAAAATTTGGGAGAGCATTTCATGTCGTAGGTGGATTTCAAACGCAGCCTTCATAGTCAAATTTTGAAAACGCACTTCAAAGGCCCACCAGCCCTAGTTGTCGCCTCCAAAAAGTTTAGATCCCTATAGAAAGGCCATGAGATTATTTTTTTCAAGAGTGTCAGATTCAACACCGCTGCATTTGCGAATGGCTTCCTGACATTCTCTACGTTTTCTAACGTCTTGTGAATTTTCAAGGACTTTTGAAGTTAATCTACCGAAATCAAATTACTGCCGTCTATAAAACTTTTGTCAACATCTACATACCATGAAAAGAGAATTCAAATACATCCCCCATGTCCTCATTTACGCTGCGCCATGCTGCAGCCCGAGCAGCATAATTTTTGAAATTTGGGTCCTTGTCATGCCACAGAACTGGTTGTTCTGTCAGATAGTGTTTTTCCACATCGTTGGGAGCATTATGCCCTCTGGATGCGGTCTTTTCATCTGTGAGGTCTTAAATTAGGAATATGCGTGCCAATTCAAAGCAACATGTTCTATCTTTGGCAAGACGTTCATTTCGGTCATCCTTGTTGGCAATATATTGACGCCAATTTGGATAACTGAATAAAAATTTTATAGTCACAATTGAGGAGAGCTAAAAATTAACTAGAAGATCAAAAACAAGTTGATATCAGGGAAAAACAACTTTGACATTTATTACGGACAACAATATTTTTTCATAGAAATAAATTGGATAAAGACATTGATTGAGTTCTTGAAAAGTACCAAAAACGACCAAGTTTGCGTTTCGCTTCGGCTCCACGATTACTTGTTTCCGGGTCATCTGAAAATCACAGCACACGATTATAATTGCTATACAAATATTATGTTATACTAATGTGCTCTGACTTACGTATTCAAAATCCATCCCTTTCAGCGAAATAATGGGAAGACGATCCCACTGCAACTGTGCATTATCGTGCGTCTGACGAATTTGTCGGCGAGGCCTAGTTTCGTCAACATGAAACTTGCGGACACTTCGACAATATACCTTCTCCGAGTTCTTGCAAGTTGTGCAAAACCCAAACAGCCTCTGATAGTCTGCACAACTTGCTGTCACTCATTAACACCTTTCTTGCCCTATATTCGCTTACACAAGTTGTTACCATAGTCATTTTCATATTTTCCGCCGTTTCACAGAGCGGCGCATCTTTGAACAATGGACCGTGGCCATTTACAGGGCATTCGTGCTCATGGTAATCTCTCGATATCAAAAGCGAAAGCAGAAAAGGAGATAAGAAAGTTGATTGGCACAGATGGTCCTGACACGAATACTTCATAAACGGCGGCGGAAGACTACAGTTAAAAGTTGCCATGACTGACGAATCCGTTCTATTTTGAATTGAAAGATGATGACTCAAGGAAGGCTTTTCTCATAAACAACAGCCGTCACATAACTGTGACGATGCGCGGAATAAACTCATATCAATGTTTATTTATCTTTTATACGTTTATCAAAATAATATAGACGTTATTATTATGTAGACAATTGCACGACGATATGTCGTTCGGCAATGATTGCATCTGATTGAGCCTAAATCTTGAAACATGTGCAAAGTTATGAACCTCAATCTTCCTGTGAATATTTAATACCTCGCTAATTGGCAGAAATATTGAAATTGTACTGAATGAAAACTCGAGCTATGATGGGATTCATCGACACAGTAGATGAGATCTATGAAGAAGTTAGATGCAGGAGCAAAAAAATGCAAGCCAAATGTACCTCATACCTTTACCTTTTGGTAAACATTATGCTTTGCACATTCAGTAAACCACGTTGCGCTACTTATCAACACAAAGCGCGCTTGGGATGGATCCGTCGTCAACACACTCAACAGAAGGATGATGGGTCTAGAACGTCTAGAACGTCTAGAAAGGTCTAGAATCAAATAGGAAGGATAGCTAACCATGAACTGAAAGAAGAAAGTGCCGCTACTTAGGTATTTCATGAAAATAGGGAAAACCAACCGATTCGATAATTTTGTACACAAAGACGGTTGACTGTCATCAGTGCGTGTCATCAATCAAGTTCATTGAAATGTATGTTTTTCCAAACGTATCATCTGTAAGTTCGGTTCTCGAAATCAAGTACTATAGGTACGTGTGTCGTATAAATTCCCCAAAATAGCGGCACTGCTTTCTAACAAAGAAAGTACGAATCAGCACTGTAAAATCGTAGGAGACACAAAATATCTATCGCTCAAAATATAGTGCACAACAGCCGAAACAAAAACTCATGTCACAAAAGCATACTTTGTGGGCATCAACTGAATGAAGACGATTACACTTCTATTGTTCTCAGCACAAAAAGAAGCGAAAAAACAACATGCGGGTTGATGTCAGTGCCGAACGGCTGCGCAGGACGAAATGACGTTCGAATGGCGTACTTTACGTGCAATAAATTGTCATGTGTGTGAGTGCAAGCAATCGCGTGTACTATGCCCATGCACGCGCGACGGACGATTTCGTCGTCGCGATCTCGTCGCCCAAACCACCGATTTCCCCGACGATGAAGTCGCGGCGACGAAATCGTGGACACTATGCCCATTGCCTTACGCGTTTGAACATGTGCCTCCACTTGGCATTCACCTCCCCTGTGTAGCTGCCACTGTGGCTGAGGCTGAAGTTGGGAGGTACAACTCGTCCACGTTGCTTCCGCGGAGCCTCCAGAAAACGGGGTTTTTGGGATCTTCGTGCGATTATTTTGGTGAGACAGTCTGCGTCTCTTCCGCCCGCGGGCTCTCTGATCATCACCTAGCTTTAGTTAGGTCACGAAGCCCCGCCTTCCAGCAGCTCAGCCAGTTGATTGATAGGATATGTTATTGTGCACATAATCGCATTTTAGAATTAGACTTTTTGATGCAGCGAAGGTATAATCAATCATTCAATGCACTACTATTTGCCAGAGTAGAGTAGCGAAGTCTTGACCGTGAGTTCCGCGGCTCGCTTGAAGTACACGGTTGAAAATTACTTCGTCGTTAATGCAGCCATTACACGTAACTGCCAAGGAAGCTTCAAGAGGCTTGCAAGTGCCAAATATTCAGAGCACCTCATCTCTAAATCCTACATGTAAATTTGTAAGTCGTAGATGGCACTGCCATATGACACCTTCATAGATAGAGAGGAAAATTTTGATCACATGATATTTGTACTTTGAGATATTATCTATTGGGATCGCAAATGTTATTGTTATGACACAGCGTTGTGAGCACAATGCCCAATTGAGACGAACAAGAGTAAAATGATTTTTGGTCGAAATTAGTTATGATGCAACTTTATAGCATACGAGATGGACAATGTGGTGCCTGTCTGTAACATTTTTCTCCTCCGACAAAATGTTTCGACGATATAATGATATAATGTGTGAACGTTCAAGTATATAAGGGCAGAACTCAAAACATTTTTCCACGGTGGCCATTGTAATCCAGCATCCAATATTTCACACATTTTGGAAAATGGTACGTTTCCGAGGTAATTTTCAATTCGCGATACACTTCAAATGAAGTTTCCGTGAAGCCATTAATCATTTTTTGCAGCGTTTCGATTTTAGATGATTTTCTTAAAGATCGAGAGTAGAGTGGGTCTCTTATCCGAATTTTTGACTCCAGAGTCTTTTGTTGTCAAAGGGCGGCGAGGATGTTTTTAGAAAGTAGATGAATTTTTCTTTCAAATATTTTTCGTAATCAATTGCGCGCACTAAGAGAGCAGTTACGGTATTTTTAACAAAGCGGCATTGCTTTTGGTTCATATTAATACTTCACTAACGCTAGCACTCAACGCATCCACTCGATACACAAAGGTTGAATCGAATTGTTAGAGAACTCAACTCAACGATAGTGCGGCAAGGCGGCATAGCTTATAAGGTCACTTGTCAATCATGTGGTGAAGAGCATGTAAGCCGAAACAGGAGCTCTGTCCATTCGGATCAAGGAGCACATGGAAGGACTCACAAAAAGTAGATTATCAACCCCTCTAGGTGCTCACAGCAGGCCTCGTCATGAAAACTCCACATTTTATACGGCTGTCACCATTTTATCGCACCAGCCCCAAACTACAGATGCAAGACACTTAAGGCGTTGTGGATTTGCTCTTGAACTTTTGAAATGAATAGAAAAGAATGCCCTAGTATCACAGAGCTGGCACCGTTTCAGACCCTTCGTGGATTATTCTGATTTAAAGGATCGGGAACGGGTCAAGCGCGTATTAGTATTAGGTTGGCACATAAGTAATGCAACTTTTTATATAACTTTTGTCTACTTGAACGTAGCGCATTCATTTTATGACAATATAAGGAATATGATGTATGCTTCTAATGCACACATTTTTGCCGAATATTATCATCTTATGCGAGGATTACGGTAGGTTTACCGTACTATGGGAAAAATTTTAGAATACATCAGATTTTGCTGAAACTTGGCCTATAGGGCTTATTTGACATCACAAAAATGAGATCCGCTTCGCATGAAAAGGCCTCGTTCGTGAGATCAAAAGATAAATTTCATTTTGACGACAAATGGATATGATATTCGTGTTTACCGCATAGGATCACCCTATAGTGCAAAGTTATAGCGAATTCTGACTTTTCGCAGCTTAGTTATTGACATATTGCCTTCAAAACTTGACGCATTTGACTTGTTCAACTTCTCGAAGGCGCCCCACCTTAAATTGTGTTTCAATTTCATTTATTTTTCACTGATTCCAATGTACCAACTTCCGGCTACATGCTGCCTATAATTTCTTTTTCATATGTTTGAATCAGGTTTCGTAGGGCTTCATTTTGCCAAAAAATCATGAAACCTCGATTTTCAGCAGTTTTTCAAAAATGCTTAGATTTTTTGTACTACGTTATCAAAAAGCCTACATCACGATCTACATGATGTCACAAAATGAGATTACTACATAAAATAGGAAAAAAGTTACGGGAAAAGTTGCAAAACTTATGTGCCAACCTAATAATTAACGTAATAGTAATATCATCAGTAGCAGCGCAGCTTTGCTCGGTGGTCGCCCCTCTCATCCGCAAGGCTATAAGGTGATCCTAACCCTATCAGAGTTTTCTTTTCTCGTTTGTTTTGGGCTCTGTTGGCTATTGAGTTGTACCGAAGTGGTGAAAACGAAGCATTTGCAACGATAGATTGTGGATAATTTCGACCTTTCCACACTTTGAAGAATGCGGAGAAACGCATTACTTGGCTTACTCCGAATAGTACGTAAGGCAAATCTCAATCTTAAGGCAATCTCCAAATAAATCTATCTACCAACCTTGGCCTACGTTACAACAGCTAATACAAGATTATATAGCAATATTAGAATTAGAGAGTGCACCTTTGACCCTCAAAAATTTCAGACAGGGAGAGAGAGAGGGGGGAGGCGCGAGGTTATAGCCAAAGCTATCTTAACTTCTATGAAATTCCAAAAATAATGGTAAGCTTCAATCACTTTAAAATTCAAGATGTCGCTTGATACACAAGGTATGATCGCATAATTAAGAATCCATTTAACATTTATGCATGCAAAGATAAGATGATGTACACATACTGAAGTTGCTGACTACTTTCTCAGATCGAAAAATCACTTACCGTACTGTGTCTCGCACTCTGCTTTCAAGCACGTGGAGACCCGCCGCACCCTAGTGGAAGACAAGTGAAAAACCTTAAGGCCGAATGGTACTATGTAAGAAGTTTTGTTCTTCTATTTGACTAATCTGTTCATTGAAAAAAGTTGTTCAGTCCGAAGATAATGTGACAGTCAACCTCACAGATGAAGGAAAGAAGCATTGGATGTACGTCTACGTTAGGGACTGGACGTCGATGGAAGTCATATTTGAGAAAATTCGCTGTCGAAAAAATCAAACAGAACCTAAGGTGAGGAATATGGATTCCAGGTAGTGTTATATAGCTAAAACTGGAGTAAGAGGGTATAGCTTAAGTGACTTGCCTTAAAGTCTATGCTGGTTTACTTATAAGTCATGTTCAGGGTCAATATCATCGCAGGCTGTGCGTGAATGGCACGCTTTTCATCAGAAATGCCACTGTTCGAGACACTGGCTATTACTATAAAGTAGAAAGTCCTAAAGGGGGTAACGGCTCGTACTCTGATTTGAAGGTAAGCTCTAAACATAGTGAAGAAGGTCATAGATTTGATTCATCAGGTTACCAGAAGTTTCTTGATCTTAGGTCACATTAGTGTTAAACGAGTCCTAACGAAATGATGCAATGCTATCTTCATATATTAGGCTACATTAGAGATAATGCAATTTTCTCGTCTCCTTCCATGCCAAAATCAAAACGGAAGCTATTTACGTAACATTTTGAAAATAGTTTTTTCAAATTCCCTAAGTATACCTTCGCTTCAATAGATTTTGATTCGCTTTGAGATTTCGAGACTCAGAAATATGAGACTACCCCACAAAATTTTTTAGAGCTTTTGCCTGAAATGCCGGTTGTAAATTTGCCGAAATTGTTCAAAGCTGAGCATCAGCAGAGGTAACTCCGTGTTCTGAAACTCCAATTTCGCTTCTCACATCAGATTTCTCTCATCTCTCATCAATTTCCTTTATCTGCTTGAAGCCATTATACGCATCACAGCAAAAATCCTCGCTGAGTCGGTGTTTGAAACTCTTCAGCTTGCCATGGCTTGAACATCACTAAAACACAACACCATTGAGTACGTTTTTTGATAATCCGCACTGTTTGATGAATCCTCGTAATCAACATCGCACACATCAACACATGCCAAGAGGCACTGAGCATGCCTTTCAGGAGCTCATCAGCCAAAATCGTACCTTCGATACATGGAGCCATGTACTCCAGTGATCTTCACTTTGAGCGACCTAAGAGAGCGCAAATTTCACTAAAAAAGGAAAGTCATCCGGGGCTAAGCCCCAGAAGTAAACATCATAACTATTTCAATGTAAATGAAGCAAGTGTAATGACTAATAGCTCAAAATTATCCCAGCAGACCAAAAAAGTTGCGTTTTTTTAGCCTTCATTGCGCTGAAAAAGGGATTTTTGCGTGAATTTTTATAGGATTCAGGACCACATTTCTCAACGCCTCTTTAGAGTACGATTGAATTTCAAAAAATCACAAAAGCTATTGTAGTTTAATGAAAACAAGTAACTGCGATCAACTTTTGCGCAGAAAAAGAATTCACGCACGAAAATGCAGGTTTATCTCATCAAGAAGTGATTTTCAAGGACCATGTCAATGTTCGTAGTCGCGCTACCTCGCTACCCCAAACGCGGGGCACTAAACAGTTGACTCTGGTCCTTTCCCAAGGAACTGAGAAAATTAGCCAAGATGATGAAAGAAAACCTGAAGATGTCGTTTTTTTCTGGATTTTATGCTGAATTTCGTATTTCTGGAAATAGCTCATACAGAACTGGAAATCGTGTTCTTATTCAAAAAGGTATGGAGAAAGATGTCGATGCAAGAGTATATTCGTGAAAAGCATGTCAAAAATTCTCTTAGGTGATATATTCTGAGCAAGTTGATTTTAATCCATCTACCATATACCCACGCAGTCCTAGCAGAGACGGGTTTGCTTCAGAACGGCTGTGATTTCTATCTACGTGCGCAATCATCCAACGAGCCAAGTTGAGTTCTGTGGTTCTACCTAGTTTGCCGTAAATCTATGGTGACTAGCTATACGAGGCTGCACAAGAGTTGGATAGTACACTTGCCATCAGCGCATCGGGGTAATCCCAGTAAACTAATTTTGAACTATTCTTTTATCTTAACATGATCTTTTAGAACATCTTTGATCTTGGCGGCGCCTAAAATCAAATTTTGAAACTAAATTAATCAAATTTTCTTACTTTCGGTGGTTAAAAATTGAAAAGTATAAAAAAATCCAATTTTTGAATCTTAAATCTTAAAATGCCAAAAGATAAGTACTTTTTACATTTTTGAATCCGTAAAATCTGAAATTGGCACCACCGCATATCCAATACTTGACTACACAACTCCTCACCGCAGCTCATACAACTGGTAGGCTACAGCTTCTACTTAGTCAGTGCTGCTCGAAAGTTAATGATTGTAGTCTCAATCTTTTAGCAATCATGAAAACGGCTAAAGGAGTGTATAGCCTTGTACATATTTAGCAGAAAGTTTTGTTATTCTACCTTTTCGCAAATTAAACATGGATCAATCCTCTCAGACAGGAATGTGAATCTCCACCAAACTGTCCTATGCTTTCTGTCGCTCTGATATTTCAGCACATTTGCATTTGAGGTTTTCTTACACCTTCAGACGGCGGACGTATCACTCATACGCAGTTCATCGCATAGCATTTTTGGCTATTTTTTATGACTTCTCTTTAGTAATTACATCTATGAATTCAAAAAGACTGGCACCCTTTCTAGAATATCACATTTGTTGCTTACAAGTGGCGTGAGAGATCATCAATACGCAATTGTTCTTCATAAGAGCATTTTTACCAATTAACGTTTTACTCTTTATTTAGGATGATGAAAAGCTCGTATTCGGCAAAACACGAGTGTTCGCGCTTGTCGTGTATCCAGAAACGAGGGCAGAAGTAGAAAGGCAAAAGCAACTTGCAGAGTAAGAGGTGATTTGAGAAAAGTTTGAGCTGACTTACCTTTTACAGATGGGCGAGCATGGAGAGAAGAACAAGAGCACTGGCTAAGCATTTAGCTAATTTTCGAAGTTAACAGATTGACGACATCGTGACCCACATGTTGGGTCATGCAATGACTGCCACGTGGGACAGTGTGACCCACATGATGCGTCAGAGCTTAAATCTACTTAAATAGTTTCTACTCAAAGTTAAATTCATTTCGGAGGCTTTAGACCGCACTGTATCTATAGCTTCCCGTTTCTCGGCAGCTTCTGAAGCCCCGGACAGACTTCACGCGATTTGATAGTCGCGACTCAATCGCCGACATTTTCATTCATTTTCATTTCACATTCAAAAATTTCGGGCTGGAAAAGTATCACAACCGAAATGCAAGTTGATCGGCATGGAATGATGTTGTAACAGTTGTCTCCTCGCGATTCAGTCGCGACGATCAAATCGCGTGAAGTCTGTCCGGGGCCTGAGAGCTACAGGTACACTGTGAATGAAGTCATGCGTAATTTTAGCTACAAAAATCACTGTTTTTTCATAAAGGCTTTGTCCCACAAGGCAGACAAGTAAAATTGCGCGTTGTCTTTAACGTGTTGACAATTGTATAGTATTCTGCTATCGTCATTTCCTCCGAATAGACGGGGCGGAGATTGCGGACTTGCGAGCTTGGCAGCAATGTTGGTGTTGTGAGAAGGGTAGATCTCGAGTTATCGAGGCCGCAGTGACACGCCTCGTCTACTCTGGATTTTTATTTTAGGTTTGATAAAGACTTTTTAATGATAAATTTTTTCGTAGTGCTGTGCGTGTATTCGAAATAATTTCAGTTTTCATGCCATAAGAAAGTTGACATGATAATGCTTAGCAGTAACCTAACCGTGCTCATAGATAATTGGTGTAAAAGCATCAAATGTAATTTTTAGCGATGTTTCTTAAAGCTTTACCTAAAAAGGTATTTATTTATCTCTTAGGCTGACGTTTCGGCAAGAATGCCCTCCTGTCTGTACCTCAAGCGAACGTCTGTCTAAAAAAATTTAATTCAGCGAAAGCTAACTGGACAAATAGGAGAGACAAGTGCTAAGCTAACGCTTACATTGATAGTCTTTCGTAAAGAGTGCGAGTAGACCAACTAAGCCCCTCACCGAAATACTAGTATACCCCCATTTATATCGCTGACCTGATCCGTCCCATAGATCAAATTTAGCAATGGTTTGATACGGAGCCAAGTTAGTAACGCCGTGCACTCTTCTTTGCGATTGATTTTTGGATTTTTTAATGTAATCTAAAACGCTTTTGACTTTTGCTCGATATGTTATACTATCGAACTTTCTCCACACCTTCGCTAAATTGCTAATCATTCAACCTCAGATAATCGCGGGGGGCAGGCGGCCATGCGAGTTTTGAGCAAGCGGGCACCGGAAAAATAGTTCGCTGATCTTGCGGCCCGTTTGCAGCAATTTGGAAGAATATTGACCAATTTTCAGACAAATGCTCGGAGAACTATCGCGGTTTTCCTATAGATTAGTTGCGGCGCATTGGCCGCAGACTTTCGCGGACTTTTCGCGAGAATATGCTGAATTATTGAGGGCCGCGCGGTCCTTTGTGGAGGACCACACAGCCGTTAGGTACTTTCCGCTAAGAGAAAGTACCTCAAACAAGTACCTCAAACTTGGGTAATTAAACCATCGATGACACCTCTGCAGCATAGAGTAGACATTTGCTTGACATACGCCCGAAACTGCTTAAAGGCAGCGTACATCCAAAATCTAAGTTTACCTACTTCTCTATACTGTGTATACAGTGCTGGCCAAAACTATAGATCCACTATAAAAAACTGCCGTAGTTCATCTGCTTCTCAACGAATTGATCTGAAATTTGGCACAGCTGTGTGTTCAACAAGCTTCTATCAGTGACCGGAGCAGATCCCGCTTTTGTTAAATTATTCAGGAAAAAATCAAAAATTTCGAAAAAAGCAGGCTCGATGGTTGGCCAAAACTATAGATCCACCTAAAATTTCTGTCTGCTAAAGTAATTCTCGGCTTCCAAAGTCATTTGTGCATGTACATAGTCGAAAGTCAAAGCAGTGGCTTTAGTCCAGCTGTGTCATACCTTTATAAGAAATGCTTATCTGCTTTTTTTCACTTGAAAAATACTTTTGTATGTTGTTCCCGAGAATGTGTTTTTATAAAGGATTCCGCACTTTTTTGAGTGGTTTGGAAGTGATAAGGTTCCATCTATCTTATGGATGCTTAGCAGTGTGAGCAGTAGAAAAAAATTCGGGTTTTCGTATCCAAAGCGCATCCGACATAGACTTAACCGCAGGCCTCCGTTCAAATTTATGCCTTCAAACTCTTTCTGCAATGTTGTCATGAGCGTGAACTGGAGTAATAACATTGTTAGTATGTATGACAGTCCGTATGTAGTGGTTGCAGATTTCCGCAGATCCTAGTATGCAGGCTAATTGAGGGCTTCATTCTGCAAAAAGTAATTTGCAACAAGACTTGAAGTTATTTGTGGTTTTGACCATGATGCTTACGTGAGTCACAAGGCAACATACAATGCAGGGTGTATTCATTAGTTAGCAGCTAAATAGTGGCAAAATTAAAGGAAGGTACCGCTTATTAAGTACTTTGAGATTGTCAAACACACCGCAAGACTTATGCTTTAAAAAAGAATTAAAATGCGACTTCGCAAACAATCGTGACTATAGTTTACAAACTTCTTTTTATGTGAATAATGCTAAATAATGCTTCCACATTATTTTGAGCTTACAAAAATAGCGCACACTGATTTTGAAGGCAAAAATTCGAGCGCAGGCCTGCGGTTAAGTCTATGTCGGGTGCGCTTTGAAAACAAAAACTTGAATTTTTTTCTACTGCTCACACTGCCAAGCATCTATAAGATAGATGGAACCCTATCACTTTCAAACCACTCAAAAAAGTGCGGAATCCTTTATAAAAACACATTCTCGGGAACAAAATACGCATAAAAGTATCTCTTTAAGTGAAAAAAGCAGATAAGCGTTTCTTATAAAGGTATGACACAGCTGAACTAAAGCCACTGCTTTGACTTCCGACTATGTATATGCACAAAAGACTTTGGAAGCCGGGAATTACTTTAGCAGACAGAAATTTTAGGTGGATCTCTAGTTTTGGCCAACCTTCGAGCTTGCTTTTTCCAGAATTTTTGATTTTTTTCCTGATTAATCCAACGAAAGCGGGATCCGCTCCGATCACTGATGGAAGCCTGTTGAACACACAGCTGTACCAAATTTCGGATCAATTCGTTGAGAAGCAGACGAACTACGGCAGTTTTTTATAGCGGATCTATAATTTTGGCCAGCACTGTATCTAGGGCCCAGAAGAAGACTAACTGCTTTACTCCGGTCTCCCAATGTTGCTTCTGAGTGGAGAAAATTCGCCTGATTTTTCTTTCATTCTGCCCCTTTTCTTCCACTCCTCCTCTTTCGGACGAAATCCACGTCAGCGTAAGCTGCAGTTGCAACAGTGTAGTTGCTTTTTGCACCGTCTCCTTCAGACGACAAACCACGACAGCATCGCACCAGTTGCAGTCGCAAATGCAGGCTATAATGCTGTTGCGGCTGCTGGCATGCCGACGGGGACAAGCAGTCCGAAACTCGTCCGCCCTTTGAAAAAAGGGTCCCGGGAATTGGGGTTTTTGGGACTTTTGGAGGATTTTAATGCCATATCTGTAATCAGGGGCACGGAAAGGCCCCATAATGACAAAAACATCGAAGGCGAAAAAAAAGAGTTCGAGCGCCTGCTGAAAACTCGGCCAGCGCTGCTAAAAGAGATTATTTGACGAGCGCCCGCAGAAAACTCTGTGTTCTGCTCCGCTAGCAAGACATTCGACAGTAAAGGAAGTACCGCCTGCTGAAGGTTTGGCCACGTCCCAAAATTCTGCTGACCGCCTGCAAAATAACGCGAGTGCAGATCGCCTGCCCCCCGCGATTATCTGAGGAAACTGCGTAAAAAGAGCAGAGCTCCTGCTGAAAGTTTGGTTCGCGGTCGTTGAAAGAAATTATTTGATGAGCGCTTGCAGAGAATTTTGTATTGCTGCCCGCTGGCAGAACACGGGAGTACCGCTCGCTGAAGGTTGGGCTTCGTCGCATAATTTTGCTGACCGCTTGCAGAAAAGCAGTTTGCGGACCGCCTGCCCCGGCAATTATCTGAGACGTTGCTTGCGGTGAGCGCCCACTCAGAGAGTCGCCGGGGGTAGGCGACATGCGATTTATAGGCAAGTGGGCACCGGAAAGAAAGTTCGCTAATTTCTTGCTGTTTGCTTGCAGATATTTGGAAAAGTGTTGGCCGCTTTTTACGCGAACGTTCAGAAAACAATCTCTGCTTTTTTAGATTAGTTGCGGCGCAGCAGTCGCCTTCTGGCGGACTCTTCGCAAGAACATGCAAAGTTGTTAAGGGGCGCACGGTCCTTTGTGAAAGGACCGTACAACCCATAGGAACTTCCACTGCGAGAAAATATCTCAAATTCGGGTACTGAACCAACGATGACAGCTCTGCCACATAGAGTGTTACTTTTGCTCGCGCCGCCCAAAACCGCGTTACAAAAGTCAGAGCGCTCCTAAAATCAGCACTCACTCAGCGAAAGAAATCATTTGAAGAGCACTCGCAGAAAATTGTAATGCTGCCCGCTGTCAGCGACAGTAAAGAAAGTGCCGCCCGCTAAAGGTTTGGCCACGCCTCAAAATTTGTTTGACCGCTTGCAGAAAAGAGCGAGTTCACGGTCCGCCTGTCCCCGGCGCTTGTCTGAGCAAAGGGGTAGACACTTTCAATTTCATGTCCATCTCAGTGCTCCTCAACCCATACGCACAGAGGCCTGCCAGTTTCGCCTATGTATTTTTCTTCACAAGGTTGATACATGTTGAGATAAACCGCTTTAAACTCCTCCAATCCCTTTGTAATCAAATTGGGCAGATAATGCAAATGCAACACTTCGAATTCTAT